CCTAGGCGCGGGGGCAAGAGCGGGTCAGCCGCCACCATGGTGCAGGTGTAGGAGCTCGAGGTCTACGGTCAGTGCCGCCGGTAGCGAAAGTGGGGGGCACAGGAATTCGCAGGGATGTGGTTGCCTGGGCGGGGTTGGGGGGGTGAAGGACCTGTGTGTGTGTGTGAGAGAGGGGGGGACTTATTTTCAGGGAAGGACGTATATTTAGACCCCCACAAAAAAATCAGTCTTGACCTTATTTTCAGGACGTGTCCTATTTTGGGGAAAACATAGTATTGTTTGCACGTGTATTATTGTGGTTGAAGCTGAAGTAGTCATTGACAGGTAGGACTTTGAACAGACAATTTTGTGTGCTAAGTTTAGGTCTGACCATAGGTGGCATAGTTCTAGGTTGTCCAGGCCTAAAATTTCAAGCCTGGTGGCATAAGGTATTCTGTTGTGAGCAGAGGAGTGAAGTATTCTTCTCGGGAAATATCTCTGGACTCACTCAATTGTGTAAATGTCCGATATACAGTGTGAATTCCAGGCAGATGAGCTGTATTCGAGAATTGGTCTGGCAAAGGTTTTGTATGCCCTAGTTTGCAGTACAATGTTACCGGAGAAGAAGCTTCACAAAATTAGGTTAACAATTCTTAATGCCTTTTTGGCAATGCTGTGAACTCTGGGGCTTAGATCTTTTGAAATTAGTATTCCTACGTCCTTGACAGAATGAGAGTCGTCTACGAAGTCGTATCCACCTATTGGTCTGATTTTTTTTTTCAACTTTTACAATGCACAAAATATTCTGAAAGGATTTATTCCATGCTGCAGGTGAAAAGTTGAGAGTAGCTTCTTTAAAACAAGCCAATGGTTATAGGCAAATATATATGTCAAGGAACAAGGCATATCCTTGGCATTAATTAGGCAAACATACTGAATTCATCAACTTTACAGTACAAGGAAGCAATTTCTCTATGTGCAGATAACATATGGAACTTGTATCAAAGTAATAAAACTACAGATGAAGAACTGTTGACAAGGTCTTGCTATTCTGCATATTCATCTGAAGATAATTAAGATGGCTGTATTAATGTTAAAAGTCTACACACTAAAGAATTCATTACTTAATTACTAAGTGATTAATTTAGCATTGGATTCATTGCTTTTACTTGTTCTCGGTTTATGTCACATAAAAATATACTGAAAAATGAATTCTACAATATTCTGCAAAGGTAAAAGTAAACTATTGAACACAGCTGTACTAATAAAAGGACAAGCGCCTAGAGGGAACCCTTCTCTGTAACCTCACACTAAGATTCTGAATAGGCAGGCTTATTGCATGGAAAAAATGGAGTTAGGCTACAGAATCTTGAAACAGAATTCAACAGTGAGCATATTAAAGTAGGCCTCCCTATTGCATGGGGGTGCTTTTTCTGGATCTTGGTTTAATAAGGATACTAACAGCATATTTAATACTACAAAAAAGGCCCATCTGTTCTTGTTCTGCGGTATTTTGGAATGCCCATTTTTGTGCATAAAATTACATCACGGTGCAAGCAGTGGTAGGAAGATATGAGACATGTTTATTTTATTGGAGTTGCTTTGTAATACAAAAGATAAAAGGCTTTGGATAAGAAATATTTTTGCTTTATGTTTCTTTCAGAAATTTCCTTATAATTTCGTAAAGTAAAACAAGAGTCAACAGATACATAAACACATGCACATCATTTAAATATTGAACAGGGATAGTGAAGTGTAGCTAATCACAGAACTGAAACATAAAATTCAATAATGTAACAAATTGCTCTTATGACTGATACTTTAGTATGGTCTCACTGACTGCAATGTGTCTCTATAGATATACAGGTGTTCTGTCCCCGTACCATGCACACACCCAACCAGCCAGCCGAGGGTTAAATAAACTCTTCAAACACAGGTCAGTGATAAGGAACTTGGCAGCACCTCCGTGGCTGCCTGCCAAGAGCTTTTACTCCGATAACACAGACAAAAATACACAGTTTGAATAGTCCAGTTTGTAATTAAATCCACGGCAAATAGATGTTGTGTCCGAAGGTGCAAGTGCCTCGCCAGAGATTAGCTTTGTCTGTCACAGAGTCGGAATGGCCACCACACTCCCTTTTATAGCCTGTGGGGTGTGGTCCAGTGACTCAGCTTAATCTCTGGCACGCCTCCTTTTCTGCTGCTCACGCTTGTCTCTCCGACGCTGGCGTGGGTCCAACCACAATGTTTCTTCGTCACTATCCGAAACACCTGGCTCCTGGCCAATCTCTTCTCCTTCGGGAGACACCTGAGGCATTGCCAGAGAGGAGGATCCTGGAGAGGGAAGCCTGGCCGTCTCCTCTTTCGGAGCCTTCTTCCTCCGATAAGATAGGCTCGGAGGACGGAGCCACAACAACAGGTAGTCTTTGACTTACAACGGTTCATTTAGTGACCATTCAAAGTTACAACAGCACTGAAGTGACTTATGACCATTTTTTACACTTACGATTGTTCCAGCATCCCCATGGTCACATGATCAAAATTTAGATGCTTGGCAAGTCGTTCATATATATGATGGTTACAGTGTCCCAGGGTCATGACCTCTTGATAAGTAAAATAAGTGAGGAAGCTAGATTCACTTAACAACCGTGATACTACCTTAATAACTGCAGTGATTCACTTAACAACTGTGGCAAGAAAAGTTATAAAATGGGGCAAAATTCACTTAACAACTGTCTTACTTAGCAACAGAAATACTGGGCTCAATCGTGATCATAATTCCAGCGCTACCTGTATGTTTTTTATTTGTGATCTGCCTGAAGTTGTTAGGGCAGGCAAAAGGAAAATTTAGTAAATAAATAAATAAATCTTAAAACTGAAACTAGAATTAAAATAATTACTTTCAAATTTAGGAGCTCTAAAATATTTTTAAAAAATTAAATACCATTAAACAAAAGACAAAATTGACATCATTGTATAGTCTTAAAAGTAATAACTGATGGTAACTGGACTGCTGAAAACTATGCAATTTTTATTGAAAAATAAAGCACCATGGAAACTTGAAAAACAGCATTAAAAAAGCTGACCCATTTTTAAATATCTGAGTAAAAAATTCAAAATAGTAACAGGCCTTTATTTAAAATTAGTGAAATATGGTTTATATCATTCTTTTAATTTTTTTTTTAAAGGAATCTAGGAGCAACCTGTATAGAAGAACATTCTATATGGTATTTTCCTAACAGTGTTGAAATATAAAATACTATACTGATCTATTTTGGCTATAGTTTTATGATCTGGCATGTCAATTCGAGTTTAACTGTAGTGGCATGAGGTTAATTTCCTTACATTGCAGGTTAAACCTCAGAGATGTTATTTTTTAAAAAAGGAGAAATCTTCTAGTTTAATTTAAGGTTGTTGTGTTATTTGCATAATGGTCGAAACTTGAGTTTATTCATTTTAATTTGTACCTTGAAAACCATTGATTCCCGAGAAGCTTGAGTAGCTCTCCCTTTCCGTCTATTTTTTAACAGATTATTGTGTAATAACTGAAGGTTTTTAACCATAGCATATACAATCCGTGCAGAATCACAGCCACGTCTTCTACTGTACCTGATAAGCATTTTTATGACACAACATATTCATGCTCTATTCTTTTAGAAGTGTGTGAGTATATATGTGGGTATATGTATGTATACACAATCTTGTTTACATGTGGTTTTTTTAAAAAAAGAGAATGCATGAATGCATATAGCTGTGCAAACATACTTGTAAAAGCTTCCAAATTTCAAGACAAGTCAATTGTTTTTTAAATTGTTCTCTTCATGGACCACTTTTACAATTCTAAGGAAATCCTACATCAATACAGAATTTCTCTCCCTTTACATCTGGAAAACTGAAAATTACTCCTGATTCATCAACTGCAGATTTTATAACATTTGTCTAATTTTCTTATCTATTCACCTTGTTTAAATCTAGGAATTTTCAAACAATAAATATATTGTATAAAATCAAAGATGACCTTCCATTAAAAATAGAATTTTAATTTTTCAAGAGTTATCCCTGCTTAATATTAGAAAAACTGAGAAATTAAGTCTCAAATAGCTCCATTGCTACTAAAGACAGAACTTTTAAACTATGAGTTATATTTACATTTCATTTCACACTGGAAACTGTACTTAGTCATTATTACACGTGTGCATAGGTGTCTGTCAGCAATCTTGTTATAGAGAAGATTAACAGATAACTGAATGAAATGCAGTTGTGGAGGTATAAAAATCATCACCTTCTTGCTATGAATATACCTGCTGCAGTTATTAATTCCTTTTGGATGAACTCATTACTATTTTTTGTAATTGCAATTTGCATTTTTTAAAGTTTATCTGGAGAAATTTCTTCTATCAGTTACCATTTATAGCATAGGTTTTCACAAAATATCAAAACTGCTGCAGAGCATTAAAATTTAACAGAAAAGAAGCATTGTTTTCCAACTTTATATAATTCATTTTGCTCAAGAAGAATATTTGGTTCCAGAAGTTAAGATTTTTAAACCTGAAATCATTTATATTAGATTCTAAATGGCAACATTCCTTGTTATTACTTTAAAAATTAAAAATGGGACAAACTTTATAAATGCAAATGGAGTGCCAACTGTTTACAGAATATTGGAGAAAATACCAAATTTCTTTTCTGTTCAAGGAATTTAGATTTCAAAGAATGCAGTTTTGTACTCATGCATGCCTTCATTTTATTAATGCCTCTTGAACATAAACTCTTAGTAAAAAATCTGCATCCTTGTAAGGACAAGTATTAAGAAAGGTTGAAATCTCAAAACACAGTAAGGATATAATAGCCAATACAAATACAGATTTATAAATGCAAAAAAGTGATTTAATATGAACTACTGGATGCTTCCATATGGACACCAAAAAGAAAAAAAGCATAAATAAGGAACATGACTACCTCAAGGTACACTGGCTCATGAATCTTTCTATATGTTAACATGAAAAAAAATTCAAGCATACCTTAAGCACACCAAATCATACTCAGATTTGGTCAGACTCTTGCCTCCTTGATTTTTTTGTAGATCCAATCCAAATGCTACAAAGTTTATAACTGTTCTTCTCACAAGTCTTTTCTCTCCTTACTTTACATGTAACCTCAACAGATTAAGCTACTGCTGTCCCAACCCACGCTATTTATGAGTGCCGCATCCTTCTATCTTGGTTTTTATGCACTTGTGTTTTTATCAGTTGTCAAGGAAACACCAGATTTCTACTACTGCAGCTCTGTGTTTAGATCAGTTATGGTAAAGACAGTATCATCTTGAAATGTAGAGGTAACTCATCTAATTTTCCCCATAACCTTGAGATCACAATTTGTTGCTAACATTGAAGCTTTTTAAAAAAAATATTTTTGTTATTTGACATCTAAATTTACAGAAAAGGTAGTTTTAACCTGTATATTGTATTTATACATAAGTGTTATTACTCCCGAGAAATGAATAACTTGTAACTGCTCAAATCCTCCATGGCAGCCATTTTGTGAAAATTACCAGGATGTTTTGTCAATATTCCAAATATTTTTACCAGCCCCAAAAGACTTCTAAGTTTGGGCTTCACTTAAAAAACCAAGGTGTCCAATCCTACCCACCACTACCACCCAACTGCATTTACTTTTTAAAGATTTGTCATTTGCCTGTCAACATCTGCTCACATGCTAACCAAAGAGAAACAGAGAGAAAAAATAATCCCCTAACTATAGCGTTATTGCAAAAATCATGGATAAAAAATTCAATGAGCCTTAAACCGAGCAAATAACCATGAGTAAACAATGGCCCATTGTGCCGAGCCTTTTATTGGTAGAAAATATAGACGAGCAATAAACTTTTAAAAAGCTAACTGCAGGAGGAACAGTGGAAAGAAGCTACCTTGTTACTCTGTTACTTCACAGATTAAACAAACAAAATATATAATCCTGGATTCTATTTCTAAAATCTCTAAAAAGTCCAGAAACAGGACAAGAAAATCTCATTAAGTACCTGAAGTATACTCTACCTAAATTTGGAGACTATGTATTTTTATGTTGCATATTACTTTTATAAGTAATATATTGAGATAGTAGATTCAATAGATTTGGCAGTCATTTTAGCCAACTGTGCTATTTATAAGGTACAGAAGATATTGAAGATCTAGCAGTCTGTATTCTTAACAAATGCCTTGAGAACTAACCTAGAACTAAGGAGAAATTTTGTGACAGTTAAGATTACACTGATTAATTGTATCAGGGAAATGGCTTGTCTCCAGAAGTTGGGGGTGCTCCAACAGTCAAGGTTTTTAAGGAGAAATGGGACAACCATTTGTTTGAAACAGTATAGGGCGTATCGCAACTTTTTTTCCTCTTTGCTAAATCCGGCATGGGCGTGGCCAGCATGTGACGCATCCTGCCTGTGGGCTGCAAGTTTGACAGCCCTGGTATAGGGTCTCCTGCCTGAGCAGAAGGTTGGACTAGAAGACCTCCAAGGTCGTTTCCAACTCAGTTATTTTATTATTTACTGCAAAACTGAGGAACTATGACTGAATGCAACTTCTTGCACAGCATAAAGTGTTGTGTTTCCTTGTGCACTCAGCTGTATAATGAAACAAGAACTGATGCTTTTCTAGTAGCTCTCCATATGTCAGCCAGCTGCATCTTGTTAAAGTACAACAAAGCTGTTCTATACTTTACATGCTAAATATACTTAAAGAGCAATCAGGATATAAGCTTCTGAGGGCATAACTCTTTCAATGCAGCTACTTGGAAGAACTTATGATTCACCTGCCAACGGGTTATTCATTCAGTTAAACTATTATGAGTGTATTCAGATATTTTTGTTTTACTCAAAGTAAAATCCATTGCCACAAGAAGTTGTGCTTATCATTACTAATTTACATATTTTATAGAAGCATCACACAAACATAGCAGTAGACTATGTTTAATTTCTTGTTAACAGATGTTCCAAAATAGTCCATGGGACAACTACACAAAGGAAATATGAGGCACTTAGTTTAAATCAACAACTTACCAAGGAAAATAATTATTTGCACTGGAAATCAATCACAATTTCTTTGATCTTCAAATAGTGATTTAACATATTTTATTTTCCAATGTCCCTTGACTGAGTTCTAAGTTTGCAAAAGTAAGTATTTTCCTGGAAACAGAAATCACAGAAATCAGTGATTCACTTTTGAGTAGACACATACAGAAATAAGCATTATAATAATCTAGTTAGTATGTTTCATGTTTTAATTTATCTTATACAAATATAGTTTATGTTTAAGTTTATTTGTCAAGCATATATAAGATTACAGGTAAAAGTATAAACATAATTTGAACATGAAAAAAGTAAAAAGAAATATTACGACAGGGACGGTAGGCACGCTAGTGCACTTATGCACACCCCTTACAGGAATGGGGTGAGATCAACAGTAGACAGTTTAAGTTTTAAGTTTTGGGGGTTTGGGGAAGAAACTACAGTCAGGTAGTGCATTCCAGGCATTGACCACTCTGTTACCGAAGTCATATTTTCTGCAATCAAGTTTGGAATGGTTTACCTTGAGTTTGTATCTATTGTGTGCTCATGTATTGTTGTGGTTGAAGCTGAAGTAGTCATTGACAAGAAGGACATTGTGGCAGATGATTTTATGTACTATGCTTAGGTCAGACTGAAGTCGGCGTAGTTGTCTAAGCCCAAAATTTTGAGTCTGGTGGCATAAGGTATTTTATTGCAGTTAGAGGCCAGTATTCCCATTTAAAATTACATACCCTTGCACACAAAACAATTTTGAAATGGCTCACAGATAAATAACACACAAACATAAGCTACCACAATTTTTAAATAAAAAGACAAAAAATAAAAATGTTAAAAATCTGTGGTAGATTTTTTTAAAAATCATTTTTAAGTAAATATAAAGCTTGGTTCCTTCTGTTTTTAAAGGCACATCATTCTGGTTTTCTTGGCTGCAATACAAAAATCGTTTACTATTGCTTTCTTTTGTAATATTTTTCCACATCCTAAAAGTTTAGAGCCTAGGATTTATTTCCTAGTGGTCTCTCATTCAACATTAATCAGATCTCATTGTCATTCGTGCCCACCCCCTCAAAAATAATACTGTTTTTAAAAGTGCATCCTTTTCCGCAACCTGAATCTGTACCATCAACATTCCTAACCAAAATAGTAAAAAGGTAAATTATAAAATAAAATTTGGAAGGAAAATCTCAACATTTTCAACTTCTCATTTACTCAGAACAAATGTTAAAATCAAGGTCTGCATTCATAAATGCATAAATTGGTATAAACTTATATAATTATAATTATATATATTATATATAATTATAAGCTGGTATAAACTTATGCATAAATGCATGTTGGTGCATAAGCCACCAACGTGCCTATCGTCCCTGTCCTAATGTCCCCTTTTATTCGTATCAATTTAATGTTTCATTATATGTTATCTAATACACGCTTGACAAATAAAATCAATAAAATAAAATAAATATAAATAAAGCAGGCTTACACCTTTGACTCCCGCCCATATACTTAGGCCCCACCTATCTCAGTCAGGTCAGTACCATTCCAAGGTTATCTCACGGGGGGGAGTGAACAAAACATCCCCTAACAAGGGAACGAATATCTAAAGGCAGTTCCTATCAACCTACAGCTTCGGAAATATCAAATATTCGCAATTCTCCCTGCACCAAATACTTATCGAATAATGAAACTTACACCGGGAGAGTCACTATTCTTCCTTTCCCTTCCCCCCTCCCCAAAGGTAGAGACATGGAACTGTCCATCACGGCCCACTGTGAGGCGAGGAAGCGTCACGGTCCAAAATTCGCCTTTTAAGCTTCAAAGGCAGCCAAGATGGCGGCGGGCGATTGAGCGCCAAATTCCCTCTCAGCGCCTGCGCGGAGGATCCGCCGGCGCGTGGCGCCGCCGCGCCTGTAAAAACTTTATTCCCCCACCCCACCCCATTACCACTTTCTACCCACCGCGGCGTGGAATGAACGACCATGCCGTTGGCCGTGCGAGGTCAGAGAGCTGTGGCGCTGCTGCACTTCCTCTGCTTCCTCTGGGCGACCTTCGCCCTGACTCAAAATTTGGGGTTGCCCAAGCCGGTCCGGAAAGTGCACGACGACAGTTATGGCGGCCAATGGAAATACCTGACCTTCCTCAACCAGGTGGGCGCGCGAAACGGAAAGCGCGCGGCGCTTGCCCAAATCAGTCTTGGCCCCTTCGCACGTGGCGGAGGAGGGGCTTTGGGGAGAGTGAGCCAATGAAAGCGAGGCTAGGCGGGGCGAGAGGGAAGGGAGTTTACCTTAAAGCAGGGGTCTCCAACCTTGGTCACTTTAAGCCTGGAGGACTTCAACTTCCAGAATTCCCCAGCCAGCTTCTCTGCCTCGGGAATTCTGGGAGTTGAAGTCCTCCAGGCTTAAAGTGGCCAAGTTTGGAGACCCCTGCCTTAAAGCGTCAGTTTAGTACAGGTGAAGCCAAATCTTGGGGATCCTTCCTTAGACCTACTTTTGGATCGTAATGGAGATGACCCCCTCGATCAATCTGACAAGAGAGTTGGGCTACAAAATTCCCAGCCGACGGCCGTTCTGACTGGGAATTCTGGAAAATGCAGACCAGAACATGGGGAACTTAAGAGGCAGAGCGAAGAATCTCTTCAATCAGCCTTTTCCCTGACCTGGTGTCCTCAGAAATAAAGAAAGGCAAATCAGTCCCAGCACAAGTCTGAATTTTGGCAGCCAATAATGACTGGAGATTTTGGGAGAGGTTATTTTTTTAGCAATACTGAGTGATGAGTGGTATAAAAAACTCAGGTTGGATTCATTTCTATTGCACTTATAAGTAAGCATTTGAGTTTACTTTTATGTGTAATATTGTATGATTCTTTAATTCATTGGTGTTTTGCCAGAGATGATTTTTAGCAATATTGAATGATATGGTGGTATGGAATAAATACTCCGGTTGGATTCATTTGTATTGTACTTATAAGTAAGCATTTGAGTTTACTTTGATATGTTATGTATTAATTCTTTAATTCATTGATGTCCTTCTCGGTACCTATCACTTAACATCCTTAATGGATTTTTTTTTCATATTGTGCTGTTAGTGACTAATTGATGGTATATGTGCGCTAGAAGAACTTATTACGTTACCATGGCTCCTTATCTCTTTCTGCTGCTAAAATCAGCCTGCCAGAATAACCATTGGGATCTTGGCTCAACTTGCCTTTACATAAAAACTGCTGCATTGCATTTCCACAAAAGTCTCTGCAGGATTTTCAAACCATGATGGGTACCGAGGTCTTTCTTTGTGGCTAGATCAGTTGTAAAGCAGTTATTTCTCTAATATGGATCCTCTGCTAAATGCTCAGACCGCCCTTGATCAACATAAAAACTAGGTAAATTTATGGCTTTTTCCTTCGTGATTCTGGGTGCAAGAGACCAGAGACTCATTGGAATCTGCTAGCTTGCAACGATAAATTGTTGATCCCCTTCAGTTGTTGCTGAGTTACTTTTGCCACCACATTGGAAATTCTATGAACTGCAATCCAAAATGTCAGCAAAGCACTAGTTGAGGAGTAATTGATTTAGATGGTAGATTCACAGTTCTCACTTTTGAGGTTACTATACTTGTCTAGTGTACTGAAGAAATCTTGATTAAGGGACTTGGGATATTTTTTATCTCTTCTATTATATCTAAATCATAGCTTTTAACTTTAAATATTATTCTTGGATTATAAATGATGGAAAGAAAATGCATGCTCCACCTTGAATATAACTTCTTTGAATTCATAGCTTCTACAGACATTGCTGTACTTATTGTGTGTCACAATTGATGCTGTAGCTCTGTTTGTCCCTTCCCAAGAAAAGAAAGTGTCATCTATAGTGCTGCCTATTAGAGATTTCATCTTCTCTGCATATGTATTTCCTGTTGGCTTAGTAAGTAATTACAATATCTGCTATTATTTAAATAATTCCATACTGTACTATAAGTCCATTAAATTGAGATTTGCTTAAAGCAGAGGTGGAGAATGATGGCCCCTTTATGGATTTGTGGACTTCAATTCCCAGAATTCCTGAGCATAGAATTTTTGGGAGTTGAAGTCCCCAAGCCATAAAAGGACCATCGTTCCCCCACCCCTGCCTTAAAGGTGCATGAGATTGTAGATGGTTTTCTTAAGAATCACATGATCCTTTCCATAATCACAGCAAACAAGTATATCAACTTGCTTTACTGATAAAATCAACAACATTTGATTTCTCAATGGTAACCTCATCATTTGTGGACCAGTTATGATTTATTTTGTCCTCCCATATAGCACCCAAAAAAATTTCCACTGTAGCATTTGCCTAAGAAAATTGGTGGTTTTGTTCTTTAAAGCAGTCATTTTGAGATCTTGGCCTGTTGAAGAACAGAAAACAGATAGTAGTCAGTAAACGGTCAATTTTCATAATGAAGGGGCATAAACAAACAGATGTGTGCAGAGCTCAGCGCTAGCAAAACAAACATTACATTTGAAAAATATCTAGATTTGGCTTGGGAAAAACTTTTCCCAAAAAAAAATTCCCAAGTGCAGCTCTACAAGAGTTGGCTCAGAAATTGGTGACTGCTCCATTCTATGACCCTGTTTTTCTTCCTAGTTATGTGTTCCACAGCACTGAATGTGGAGTTCCCTCTCTGCTGCCCAGCATTCATGAATATACTACCACAGCACACAGGGAGATCATAAGCAAACACACACACAACATGCCTCAGTGGCTAAGATGCTGAGCTTGTCAATTGAAAGGTCAGCAGTTCAGCGGTTCGAGTCCCTAGTGTCGCGTAACGGGGTGAGCTCCCGTTACTTGTCCCAGCTTCTGCCAAACTAGCTGTTCGAAAGCACGTAAAAAATGCAAGTAGAAAAATAGGGACCACCTTTGGTGGGAAGGTAACAGCGTTCCGTGCGCCTTTGCCGTTTAGTCATGCCAGCCACATGACCACGGAGACGTCTTCGGACAGCGCTGGCTTTTCAGCTTTGAAACGGAGATGAGCACCGCCCCCTAGAGTCAGGAACGACAAGCACATATGTGCAAGGGGAACATTTACCTTTACCTTTTTATGGCCATTACAGCTAAAGAGGTTAGAAAGAATTTTCTGTGCAGGCTTTTATTATATACAGGTAGTCGTTGACTTCTAACAGCTCATTTCGTGACCGTTCAAAGTTACATCATCACTGAAAAAAGTGACATGACCATTTTTCACACTTACAACCGCTGTAGCATCCCCATGGTAACGTGACTTACATTTGAATGCTGGACAACTGAGTCACATTTATGACAGTTGCAGTATCCCGGGGTCATGTGATCCCCTTTTCTGACCTTCTGACAAGCAAAATCAATGGGGAAACCATATTCCCTTAACATCCATGTTATTAATTTAACAATTGCAGTGATTTCACTTAACAAATATAGCAAGAAAACCCATAAAATGGGGCAAAACTTACTTAACAAATTCCTCACTTCACAACATAAATTTCGAGCTCAGTTGTGGTCATAAGTTAAGGACTACCAGTATTAAAACATCTTGCTTCATTTCAAAACTGAATTGGGGTTTTCAAATGTTTTTAGGGAGTTAATTAAAAAATAAATTCTTGATCAAAAGACAGGGCTCAAGTGATAAAAATGGGCAATGAAGTGAAACTTGTACACCTTATCATTTATTTATGAAACTTTATGTCTTAAACTTATTTGCATGTCACAAAATTGAAAGCTCCAATTATTGTCTCTGAAAGTTCCTCCACTTTTTTTTAAAAGTATAAAAAGTAACCTGATTTCCAGTGTACAAAAATTATAATTTGAATTTTATAATTACTGTACTTGGGAGGTTAATGATTCAGCCAAATAAATCATAGTTGTGTGCCTATTTCTTTTCTTTAAAAGATTGCTAGAAATATCTTTTTTTCTCTCTCTCCTTCCTGGCATGGTTCTGGAAAAATTGCCTCTATAGATCAGCTATTTGTATTTCAGATGAGAATTTCATTGGCAGCAATAGCAGATTTAAAATGCAAATAAAATTTGACAGCAATTTTTATTAACAGAGTAGGAAGAAAAGTTTAATTTTCTCATCCATCCATCCTACTTACTTACTTTATTTTATTTTATTATGTAAAGCTATCTTTACATAACAAAATATAATGTTAAAAATTACATAATATTTAGTTTTGATTCTTTAAAGCAAAGGGAGTTGCTCTGAAATTGAGAAGGAGAGGGTTTATAAATTAAACAACTAATAATTTAGCAAATTGATATGCTACCTGACTCCCTGCAACTTTACAGGTGCAGATACAATTGTATGTTGCATTGCATGATTCAGAATATGTTTGAAGGTTACGTTTTTAATCATATGTTTATCTGGAGAAATTAAAATGATAGCCATCTTATGTTCATACATGTACAAAGGCAGTTTGTAAGATGGTGACTACCAGATTTCTAAAAAAAAATTCTAACATTTGAGGTTCTCATTAATGTTCAGATGTTTTCTCTTAGTTTGTAGCTGTTGCTTTCTGGGGCCTTTATGCAATTGACAGAGAACTAGTGTATCCTAAAGAGCTGGATGAGATTAATCCGGATTGGCTTAATCACACTATGGTAAGTATTTGAAGCTTTGGGTCTTCTTTTGGCATATGCAATTTGTTATCAATGAGATGATTGGTATTTTAAATGGCCGGTCGTATCTCAAGGACCATCTGTATTCACATAGGCTTTTCAAAACAAACACTATAACTTGACAGGATTTTCTGCTTTCAGAAAAAATACCTTGAAAGTATTTTTCTTGCAATAATGTTGGAACAGAAGAGCAATAGCAATAAAACTCAGAACTATATACCACTTGATAGTGCTTTGCAGCCCTCTCTAAGCACTTTACAGAGTCAGCATGTTGCCCCAAACAATCTGGATCCTCATTTTACCGACCTTGGAAAGATGGAAGGCTGAGTCAACCTTGAGCCTGGTCAGAATCGAACTCCAGGCTGTGAGCAGAGTTTGCAATATTGCATTCTAACC